AATAGACCTTACAAAGAAGCCACAGCTTGTTGTAAAAAATATACAATACATTTATTTTTCTAATTGTAGAGATCACACTAAATTTGTATAAAATATAGTTCAAATTTGACAAGAAATGGGGAATATAAATGTCACCTTATTCATACAAAACGCATAATCGTACAAATATTTACATCATGAAGTACTTTTGTTTTAGTATAAATATAATTATTTTATAGAGCAAGGAGAATTCATTTCCGAGTATCAAACATTGGTTTCTTGCTCTGTGTCAATAAAGGATAACACAACGATCACTAGCCAAACCTACCATTTATGATAGTTACGAATCGTCCTCTAGTCCTCTACGCAACGAATACATTAGCTACGGTCGTCCTCTACGAAAGCGTCAGCTACGACCGAGTCCGCTATTACACCGTAGCTGTAGCCACTGGTGTAGTTTGATACCGACAAACGCGTATTCGACAGACATATATTACACGATTAGTTTCTGTTTTTAACTTTTTTTATAGGATAAGGGTGACAAACGAGTACACAGTCCACCTGATGGTGGTTGCTGCGGCCCATAGACATCTACATCTATCCTCGATTACAAATCAAAATGCTGATGCGGTGTCACCCGTGAGAACTAATATGGAATGCCTCATTTCCAGTAAAAAGGGTCTCCGGTTCTCTACACTCACCATACGAAACACAGCAGCTTTAAGCTGCTATTTTACGCTGGTATTCTGTGAGAGCGTAGTCCTTCCCCGGTCGAGCCGCCCCATTCGTGTTACAACTATACTACTAATATAACTTCAGCATGACTACTAATATACCGCGCAAAGAACTAAACTTTTGAATAAGAGAAGCCTTACTCTGTCAAGAATGTTATATTTGATAGTTTTATAAATATTTGGTGGATTTTTCGATTATTTGTAAAATAAATTAGAAAGTTATATTCAAATTGCAATCACGTGGCAATGTTATAGTAAAATTTAATGATGTTCGTAAGTGTAATTCGTAGTTGAGCACCTTATTAAAATCTGAATAAAAACACGATTAAAATTCTATTTCCAATCCTCTCGCATAGCGCGAGCTTGAAGCTGAAATATCAGACTTTCTTGAGCAAACCAAAACATTTTAATTAAATAAATAAGTAAATTGATTAAATTTGTGACTCGAATTACCGGTTAACGGAGTGGTAAACGTAAAAAATGTGAATAATTTGTAATCTGCATTGAATAAAAATATTCAATTCTATTCTATTTCTGTAGAATAGCATAGAATTTGTTATTTTGATATATATATATATTATAATACATATTTCGCTTTCAATGAAGCACCTATACAATGAAGATGAATGATTGAATTGATGAATGAATTGTTCTGTGTATTTTGAGTTTAGTTACATAAGCATGCTGTAACTCTTTTGTCATGTTCTTTCTTCTCCTCCCTTAACACCAGCTCATAAAAATTTCAATTTTCATGCTACTTGCCTTTGCTGGTCAGGGAAATTTACTACTCTTATAAATACTGCCGCCTATTGAAGCCCACAAGAACTATCTGGTATATACCTAATTCGACACACGACAAAAGTTTAAAATAACCTATTTTTAAGTTTTCGACCTCGCATATTCATCACACGTGAACGTCTGTCGACATGTGCAGCATTTGCAATTTTGGACATCACTTTGTACAAAGGCTTACTAAAATACTGAACGAGGAATGAGCAGTATGGTCGAATGAATAGTATCGGTACCTACATGAAGTAATCAGAATGCATCGTTTCTATAATCAACGCTACATTTACGGCTTTCGACTGCGAGCATAGAGATATGCGCAGCATTGATCGTAAAGGTCTTGCAAGTCCCAACTAGCCGCTTGGGGAATTCGATTCAATGGTTTGAAAAGCCTTGTTTAGAGTACAAATTCAACGTCATAAAAACATAGTTACTAATCGTACTTACTTTAAAATATAATTAACTCGAACGTACGTAAACTCATACGTCAGTAACAAGTTAATCATTATTAAAGCAAATAACATGTAAAATGTATATATATATATATATTACTGTTTTACGCGAGTGGTGTTACTGCCACAAAATGTAGACTGTGACACTCTGGGAATAAAGTTGAATGGAGTTAACTCTAGGGGGTTATAAAGGTACAGATAAACATATATACACATGAAAACATAAGTCTTCTTCTAAGACAGTCTACCTGACTAAATTTAAAAGGAAAAGAATGTCCTCAGAGAGTAAACAAATTACAATATAATGGTACCGTGCCATAATAATTTTACTGGGCTCGAGATACTCACTAGTGCAGAGCGAGACATATTCAGAAGTTAGTACATTTTCTATTTCTGACTTTCTTTTATATTTTATTTTGATTCGTTCTTACGAGTATGAATAACAATATAAAAAATTCCTTCGCTTTTGTTGTTATTATTTATTTAGATATAACCAAGAAACCTATGTGTATTTATGCACCATGTTATCGTGTTTTATAAGCATGAGTTCATTATCACAACGTACACTAGAAAATAATAAGGCACTAATTCAATAATATATAGAATAGCAGGCATGTGTGCTCTGCTCAGGTCAATACCGTAATGTATACAATTTAAAAACAAAAAGCAAAATATTATTATATATTTTCACACATTAAAGGCTCTCCTCTTATATACCTTCAAAGTAACAGTACTATAGGCTGTATATATATATATATACTGTTGCATTGAATAAAAGTATTATGTACAGTATCTAAACTAATGATGCCATAATTTTGCTGTTGCAAATGCCATATATATATATATATATATATATATATATATATATATATAACATGAAAAAAAAACCCTGTGGTTCCCGTTAAGTACGTTATCAGGATCATTGTTCAAACCTATAGAAATAACTTTTTTTTAAAAACTGGAACAAAATTTTTTTTATTTCATTTAAAAAAAATTACTGTATGCAAATCGTATGTGGTTTTATTACCTCTGCATTGTCTGGGGAGTAAGAGGATTGTCAAAGACCCCGCTTTACTTAGCTTTAGGATCGGCTAGTGTCAGTAAGATGTAATAAAACCACATAAAGTTATATATTTTTTAAATAAAATAAAAAAAATATGGTCGTGTTTTGAAAAAAAGTTATTTCTATAGGTTTGAATACTGATCCTGATAACGTACTTAACGGGAACCACAGGTTTTTTGTTACATGTTGTGTATATATATATATAATATTATCGATTTTTAGGTCAATACAATTAAATTGCTAACCATGAACCGTCAACAGATTGACAAAGCTGTTATTAAATCACATTGTTTCCCTAACAGGCAGACACCTGGGGCCGTAACAACACTTAAATAATCGTTCTTTCTCTCTTTATTCATCTTATATCTTTGTTCAGAGCTGTCACGAAAAAATTGTCAGATAATTTTATTTTTAACCGAGTTCAGAAATGAGAATCATCTTATATCTTTGTTCATAGCAGCCACAAAAAAATCCTTCTAGTTCTAAGAGTTCAAAAAGGAGAAGGTTCTATATTTGACGCGTATGTTTTATGTTGTTACAGATTACGCGAAAACATATATAAAAATGTTTTTTAAAGGGGTATACTTCAGGGATGGTCTCATATAAATTTGAAGGAAAAATTCCGTCCTTAAGGATGGAAAAACGGGAAGTGAATATTTTTATGTTACTATTTAGACGACATTCTAGTTGTTCGTATTAACGGGTTAAATAACTAAACTTTTTTATAAAAACAACAAACCGACTTCAAAAGTAAAGAGAATAATTGCCGCATAATAGCTTCTGAAGTCGGTGCTTTAATTATTTAGTTTTAATTGTTAATCTTAGCAGCGACTTCAGAAACAATTACGTAGAACAATAATATTTTTTTCTTTTAATGTCAGGTTAACTTTTTTTTAAAGCTTAATAATTATTATAATTAAATTTTATTTTTATGTCTTGATTTTTGTAAACTTGATTCATATAATAAATCCATCCAAAATATATGATAAAATAGACTGTTTGCATTTAATTCTTATATTATATATTTTTAAAACATTCTATTATAGGGCGCGCGAGCAAGGGTTTTGATTTTATTATAGTTGGCCAACATTATACTTCCAGTGTTTGCTTCACTTTTCACATTATTGAAGGCTATCTTAGATGTAAGTGATTTTTGCAATAACTGTCTTTTTAATAGGATATACATATAAAGATGAATAAACAATTTTAAATTTCGAGGACATTTTGAAACACAACATTTTTATAATACTTTCCGAATTCATACTTGATACTTTCTTCGTAGTAAGTAAATGTTTGCGTGTTATTTTGCCGTTAACAAAACAATTTAATGTACAAAGAACTTCACTGTAATGTTCGCAATAAAAATAATGCTGTGAAAATAAGTTAAAAGATACTTCCCTCAAAGAATTACAACGTACTAAGTAATAGTTACAGTAACTAGTAACATTTTTCAAATAATTCTTATTTTGTGTTTACCTTTATTTGTTTACGTAGAAAGCAACTACATTACATCATATTATTTTATATTATACTAAATGGTACCGCAAAGGAAATAATTATGCAAATATCCTTTTAAAGTTGGAAGAGTTATATTGTTTAATTAGGAATAATAATAATACATTCATAGAATTTTGATGATATATGTATAACGGTACGATACGCGCGCCACCCACTGTAAGTTAATTGTACTATGCCTATAACCTTCACGTAAGTTCAAGCAAAAAGTTAAGAAAGTTTTAATGCAATCTGATCAACGGTATGCCTGCGCATAAAATACGAACAATCGAATTTTAATTTTTATATGTTAGATTAAAACGTCAAATATAGTAATCTTAAATTATGTTAAAAAGAGTTTAAATTATTTTCAGATTTTTTTTACATCAATGGAGGTTTTTAGTATTTTGGATTAAAATTATTATCCTTCCTCGGAACATGTGACTGTTTCATATTCTAAAAAATGTATTCAGTAGACAAAGTAAAGTTTACCTGGAGGCGAGCATCAGTGCTGACTGTGTAGACTCCTCGGCACTCAATTACGTCGTCTGGCTTGTCGGCAGTGGGCGAGCGCCGCCAGCACGCTGCGCACACCGCAACCAGCACCCCGCATAGGGTCGCACTGCCAAACGGAATTAAATGTTGTAATATTAAGGGTAGGTAATTTAATACGTGGTAGAGCCATGCTGCGGTTATATTAATTGTATAGTAGTACTAGCACGAATGGGTTGGCTCGACCGGGGAAGGACCACGCTCTCACAGAATACCAGCGTAAAATAGCGGCTTAATGCTGCTGTGTTTCGTATGGTGAGTGTAGAGAAGCAGAGACCCTTTTTACAGTAAAAGAGGCATTCCATCTTAGTCCTCACGCCTGACAACGCATCTGCATTTTGATTCGCATACGGGGATAGATGTAGATGTCTATGGGCCACAGCAACCACTTACCATCAGGTGGACTGTATGCTCACTTGTCACCCCTACCCTATAAAAAAATAGTACAGACTATAAAGGGTTACACTAAGTTGTTATTATCCGTTGTAGGTTTTATTATCATCCATTCGAAATTTATATCAATTCAAGTTTAATCTAACAAAGTCTCACAATACTCGTTATAATTATACTTGAATTAATATGAACAATGATGGCTCCGTGGTGCAGTGGCTTAGCAATGAGTTGCAGTGCTGAAGATGCGGGTTCGAATCCCGCACGGAACAAGTATTTGTATGGCCTACAAATAATTGTTGCGGGTCTGGAAGTTTGCCTTTTGAAATTTATGTATGTAAATTGCTCCCACGATACAGGAGAAAATCCTAGTGTGTAATTTTTTTTGAATAATAAAATCATACAACATTACCTAATAATAAACTTATTATGAAGATGTTTATGCTTTCATTATTTTTCAATAAGTTACATAATATACAGTACAGATATGACGTCGAGAACATTGTAATAATACAATGTTCTAGACGTTATATTGCTCGTAAACTTTTATATCTTTATTCCTTTATTTACTAATATAGTAACTTAGAATCATACGTAGCAGACTATTAGAGGATGTAGTTTTACTTAAAATACCTTACACCAGTATAACTTTGCAGCTCTTGGATTGATTTTTATTTAAAATCGTCTCGCATTGAAAGGCTCTCGAGTGGCACTTTCGTACTGGCAAAGGCAGTGTGAGTAGTAAGGATCAGATGAAATCATGAAACACGTATGCAGTCGATGGATGCAGGTAGCGCAACACCGTACTCTGTGGCAATTTATCGCGGAGGTCTTGTTTTGCAGTGGACTTGTGATGGTCTGATGAATTGTTGAAAATATTCAACTTTCTATATTCGTTTACTGTCGGCTCGTTCATGGATTGCATTTTTTTTTACCTAAGGTTTTATCCAATCTACATTCAAGGATAGGTACGTTTTTTTATTTAGCTATTAACTGGAGCAAATGTTTGAAATACTTCGTATATTTGAATCGTTTGCTTTGTTGAACTATATGGCATATTGTAGCGTAGCGTAACTATATATGTATTAAAAGTAAGAGCATTTGTTGTTCAAAAGCTAGCCGTTCGCCTTATATTTCTAATACGCGAACATTCAGAGTCCAATCTTCGATACCGGCGGATATTTAAAAGAAAACATCATAGGAAAATCAACACGACTAAAAATATAGCATTGAGGACATATTATAAAGCTTTCGTATACAAACTGAGACAACTTTGGGGAGTCTTTCTAATTCCGTTACCCTTCTGTGGACCCCTATCAGTGGGACGCTTATACATTATACTAGGCTACTTCACTGAAAACTCGTTAGCGGTCAACACAACGTATAAAAACATGTATTTTCTGCCGACTTCCAAAAAAGGAGACGGTACTCAATTCGACGCGTATGTTTTTTTTATGTGTGTTACCTCATAACTTTTTACTGGGTGGACCGATTTCGATGGTTCTTTTTTTATATGAAAGCTGATACTTCTCGTGTGGTCCCATATGAATTTGATCAAGGTCAGACCAATAGTTTTTGAGGTATTTGAGTTATTCTTAATAACTTATATTGAAGTCGGCTGTACAAAATTTTTAATTTTAAATTATTTATTTATTTTTTATAGTATAACGATGACAAGCGGGCACACAGTCCACCTGGTGGTAAGTGGATGATACATCATCCACTTACCACCCATAGACATTTTGGCATTAAGTTAGCCTTTGTACCAAATGTTTGTTTGTTTGAGTGCAATAAAGAATCAAAATGCTGATGCGTTGTCACCCCTGAGGACTTAAGATGGAATGCCCCGTTTCCAGTGAAAGGCGTCTCCGGTTTTCTACACTCACCATACGAAACACAGCAGTGTTAAGCTGCTATTTTTCGCTGGTATAAAGTATAATGTGTAGTATAACTATAATTAATTTTCCTTTAAAGCCTGTGGATAAAATAAATCCATATAGCGAAGATATAGCGATTAATTCACCTCTGTAACACTTTGCCCTCGATCTTTACGCTGCGCCGTGATAAACGCAATAACCCACAAGGATACTTGTAAAACGCTAATATCGCTTAATTTTAGCTCAGAATAGGGCTGCCACCCGTACTTTAAAAAGGGCTGAACGCTTCCTTGTTACCTTATCAAATATTTGGCCTATTTCCAGCACTAGGACGTTTATAGTCAACATACTGAATATGCTGAAATATTTTATTAAAATATTACACGAACTGTTGTATTCAACATAATTCAGTAAAAATATCTTAAACCAAAAACCTAAAGCCAAAACTTTATCTTTTTATCTTTCTAATTAATCTTATTAAAGTTTCATTGCACATCAATATATTATAGTTTTTACTGTATCTATTCATCACCTTCTATTCTTTAATTACATCAGTTCTCTACACAAAGGTTGTCTGGAAGAAATCACTTTCAGATTAATATCAGTATAACCACATGTTTTACTTATTATTTCAATGTTGTGAAATAAGTAATTACATAATAGTTACCTAATGGTTTTTTAATAACTTTCGCACTACTAAATCACCCGATATCCTTTAATGGTTGCCACCCATTCATATGACCATTTCAAAGAAAAGCGTGCTAACCCTTGAGCTTGTAACTTGGTAGCGTCGCGTGTTATGCCACGTGAGTTATTTAAATGTCGCCTGTTTTGGTACGTGCGTGATTAATATCGCTCAAAATTATTCCTATATTTAGGTTGTTCAATGTTATTGTTCTATTTACTAGAGTAGCTTTCGCAGCTAAACGCCCAGCCACCGCGCTACCGAGGCGTTTTTCGTATTCTTAACATCATCTATCCATTACAGCCTCTAAAAGTCCACTGCTGAACAATATTGTAGTTGCCACGCTTGGCCAGCGGGTTGGCAACCGCAGTTTATTTATTATTTGGAGTAGTTATCGGGAATCTCCTGTATCATTTTCTCTCGAATATTATATACTAAAATATTCTTAATATTATATGTGTCAATTTAACACCGATGTATAGAAAATTAGGCTACAGGTATAATTGTAATTGTTGTAAGGAAAGTGAGAAAAAGCATATAACATAGAGAATCCTCTTCTAAATTCAATAACGTTATAAAAATAAATCAAAATGGAAATATTTTTATAAAAGTAATAATATATAAAAGCTTAAAAAATTGACCCTTCTGTCAATGCCAACAGATGCCAACAGTCAACAACATTAGTTAATTCGAAATTCCTAGAAAAAAATATTATATGGCACGTAGCTGTCTGGCAACACATAAACAACGTCATACGAGTATAACGATACTTGTATAATATGGGTTAATATAAAATTATCTATGAATGACAATCACTTAGAATTGAGGTGATCGCTGACAATCTGTTTTTAAAATAATGTTTTTAATATCATCATCATCATCATTACAGCCTCCCCCAAAGAATGCCACAAAAATAGATAAAATAATTTTAATTCACACACACACACACACACACACACACACACACACGCACGCACGCGCACGCGCACGCACACGCACACGCACACGCACACGCACACGCACACGCACACGCACACGCACACACACACACACACACACACACACACACACACACACACACACACACACACACACACACACACACACACACACACACACACACACACTCACGCACACACACACACACACACAAACACTCACACACTCACGCCTGTCACCCAGAGGGGTAGGCAGAGACTACGGAGTTTCAATTAAGGCGCGATCCTGACACACCTCTCGCCTCCTTTGTAAAGGAGGCGAGAGGTGTGTCAGGTATCCATATATCTACGCGTAGACGCTCGTCGGTTAAGGGTACTCCTAATCTGGCCCATTTTTAATGTATCGTCGATTTGGTCGATAAACCTTCGTCTAGGGCGTCCTTTCCCGACCCTGCCGTTCACTTCTGCAACGTAAATTTGCTTCGTCACTCTTTCCTCGTTCATTCTTTCTATATGACCAAACCACCGAAGCATTCCTTTCTTAATCCTTGTCACAACGTCATCTTGCAAACCACACTTTTCTCTTATCACACTATTTCTCACCCTGTCATTCAGATTAAATTCAGATAATTAATTTAATTCAATATAAATTATAAATAATACTTATTGAAAGTCAGTTTTTTTTTAAATTGTAAGGAAACAATATATTTCATTTTAATCATGTTTTTATTTACTCGCTTTCGTTTCGAACTGTTCGGGTCGAACATAGTCATTGATCTTAAACTAACTTCCCGACGAACTAGAGACTATTACGTGGTAGAGCCATGCTGTAGCTTTATTAATAGTATAGTTGTACCACGAATGGGTCGGCTCGACCGGGGAAGAACCACGCTCTCACAGAATACCAGCGTAAAATAGCAGCTTAATGCTGCTGAGCTTCGTATGGCGACTGTAGAGAACCGGAGGCCCATTTTACTGGAAAAGAGACATTCTATCTTAATCCTCACGGTTGACAACGCATCTGCATTTTGATTCGCAAACGAGGATAGATGCAGATGTCTTTGGGCCACAGCAACCACTTACCAATCAGGTGGACTGCGTGCTCGTTTGTCACCCGTATTCTATAAAAACAAAGCTAGAGACTTGTAATTTTGAACGTAGCTCAGAATCGAATGGCAAA